ACATACAACATCCAATGCTACCTTTCCCCTTCTGCATGAGAATTTGATCATCAGTTAACTTTCCAGTTCTCTTACCCTGCAACCTAATAAGATAGAATGTCAACTGTTGGTAGACCAACAGTGCTTACAATAAAAACAAAGTATTGACAAATTGATAAATTCATTAATGTGAGATGCTATTAATCATAATATGGGAAACTGGTGGTGAGGTACGGTATAACCCTCCCTGTACTACAATCTTTGCAATATATTGTACATCTAAATGTTAATAAAGTGATAAATTTCTCCATTGCATCTAAGATAGAAAACCTATAAATATCTGACAGGAAACCACAGCTTTAGGATTTCCTGAGTGTGGGGTCTTTTAATTGTCATGATCCTTGTGTGGGATTTGAGCTATCCCTAGGGAATAGTTAAGGTGATATTGATTCCTGAGAGACATAAATCTTTGAATCCAAGACAGTTCCCACCTGTCTGACATGAGGCCCATTCCTTTACACTTAAACTGTCACCTGGATGCCAGGAGAATATGGATTCTTCTAGGTGTCCCACAAAGAGAAGAGCCTGATGCTGCCCTGCTCACAGACTGTTTCCTGTCGCAGAGTTTTCTGAGTAACCAAATTGTTAAATGTGGCCTATGGGAGACCTACGAGACTGTTGAAGGAATATCACCTGATGGATATTGACTACCTATATCATTACCTCCTTGAAAAGGCTGTAGACAGATGAGGAATGATGTATTATATATCTAGACATATATCTTATATATCTAGACATATCTGTTGAGTGGTCACATAAATCAATTCAAGAATCAGTGTTGCTACAGGTAGTCATTCAGGCTAATTAAGCAGTATCATAGTTCATTGAAAGATGATCGAAGAGGTTAAAGATCCCAAAGGAGCAGCTTTATCTTTTGTCTATGTATTTATCTATCTCTCTATCTATCTACATCTACCTATTCTATCACTTAGCTAGCTAGCTGATATAGGCATCCATCCATCCATCCATCCATCCATCCATCCATCAACCCATCCATCCATGTATCCATCTATTTATCTATAATTATTTAGTTTTCCTTTATGAGGAGACAATGTCAGAATGTAATTAAGAATAACTTATTACACAGTTTAATTTGGTAACACACATCCTCTGAAAACAGAGGAATAAGAGGGTATGAGAGATCTTTGGTTCTTTAGAAGGTATTGAAAGTCAATACAGGTATTGAGATAAGGGACAAACATGTTTCCAAGAGCAGGCCATAACCTTTAAAGAGTTGGGTAGATGAGGTGTGTTCTTTTTTGCTGTTTATTCATGCATAATTTTGCAGTTGGAAATCAATGAATATCATTTGTAATATTGATTGATGAGACTGCTAGCTCTCTGTTTAAAAAAATAGTTCTGGATATGTAGAAATAGCTTCATTTTTTTGTTAGCATTTTTTGTTTATACTCCTAAGAAAAGCACATTTATTTCCACAAGCCACGACTAAAATCACATAGTCATATGACTGGATTTCAGTAATCATTAAAAGTTATCCCCTTAGCCCTGTTCAGAGCCATGTTCAAAGGCAATCCAGGGACTCCATGTTGATTAAATAAGGGAAGAAGGGGCAGCATGAGGGCCCCCTTCCTCCCTCGGGTCTTTGGCCTCCTTCCACCCTGGGGTCTTTCTCATGTTACTTGTGATGGGCTCTGTGGGAATCTTAGTAATCTTCAGAGATTCCATAAGTGAGTAGGTGGCTTATTTCAAATGAGTGAGTCTCCCTCATCTGCCGTCCCTGTTCCTATGATTGCCACGTTAACATGCTTATTACATCATTCTGAAATCATTTGTTTACAGGCCCGTGTTCCCATTAGGCGCCAGTGTGAATGCTTTGAAAGCAGAGACTGAGTCCCATTTATCTTTAATTTTCCAACAAGTATCACAAGTAGTAGGCACTCAAAAATTAATTATATGTGTGAAAACAAACTTTGGGGAAAGTAGAGCAAAGAGTCTCAGATAAAGTGTCTGAGAGGCAATTCTAACCCTTCTGACAGGGTATGGTACATTCTTGACCAAAGAGAAAATGTATGAAAGCACTTTAGAAAGATGCTTGATAAAACCTCTTTTTATGTTGCCACATTCCATTTCTCAAAATTGTGCCCTGTTCAAGGCCATCAGAGCTTTCTGAATCTCTTTTCTATCTTAGACAAACGCCTATTTCCAAATGTTCACCATGCCAAGATTGTGTTATATAATGTGGGCACTCAGAACTCTAGGTAGGCCCTAATAACCTTGACGCTATTAAGGATACCAGATTAAAAATTAGCAATGTAATCACATAAAATTCCAGAGATAACATCACAATTAGGTCTTCAAAACAACACAGTTCTTTACAGAATCTTCCTTTGCCTCTATACCGCATTTTGTCTGATAAGCACTTGCCAACAAAGACATCACACTAATTACAATTTGTTATACAAAGGGCAGGAAAACTGATAAATGATTCATTGATTATTTTCTTTACGAAATAATTCTTCTGTTCTTGTCCTCACGTTACTTTTGGATAATAAATGGAGGCCTTAAGTGCCTTCCCAAGGAGTTATTTAGAAGAAACAACGTTGTTGGTATTAATTCTTAGCAGCTGTGAGTGGATACACACAAAAAAAGGAGGACAAAACGAGTATTTTTGGTTCTTTGTATGTAGAAAAGAATTGCCTTTCTTAAAAAGTAGATTTGTATAAAATATTCTTTGGCTTCTCTGTAAGATTCTTCACTCCCTACCATTCCAAGTTACGTAAGGTACACCTCCTCTCCTCTATGTCCCCAAATGCTATGCTAGAGAAGGCAAGATGTCTCTAGGCATTTATTCTGGTGTTCTTGTCCTGAAAAGGTCAATACCTGATACGACACCTAATTTGTTGAGGGAGAGCAGCTGAGCAAGAGCAGGAATTGGGGCAGTGGGGAAATGTGAGCCAGTCCACAAGGCCCTCAGTGAGCAGGAAGGACTGACCTGGAAGCCTGGGGCAGAGGAGTAGGTGGTGACAGAGCAAAGGTCAGGGGCTCCAAATGTTCTTGGTGCCTTCTCTTCTCTATTTTCTCCTGGGAAGCAGGTTTATGATTCCCAAATCTATATAAGAGGCCCTGTGGTCTCTCCATCTGGACATTTCCCTCATGCGTACGCCCGTGCACCTCATCTATAACATGCTCCAAAGGGATCTTGCATTTTCTCCACCCTTTTCTCATTTCTGTCTTCCCATATCAATTAATGGTGTCAGCAGTCATGTAGGCCAGCAATATTTCTTCATCACCCCGTCTCTTTTTTCTTCCTTAATCCCACGTATTCTTGATGGGTTTTACTTCAAAATGTTTCTGAAATGCATTCTTTTCATCTTCCTTCACGTCCAACCTCATCATTTCTGTTCTGGACAACTATAATCTCTTCTTGATGGTCTCCCTGCCTTCTCTTTTCTCCCACTTCTCCATCCCCTAAACAGCTGACACACTGAGTTTTCTATAAAGCAAAGCTGATTATGTCATTCTTCTTGATTAAAAGGCTTCAGTTGCTTTCCATCATTTAAACTAGGGAATAAAATGTGGGATCCTTTACCTTGCATAAGAACATCTTCACAATTTTACCTCTGTTTACATTTCTGGCCTCTTGGCTGCAGGCTGACACTTTACTTGCGTGTTATGTTTGATCCACTCAGAATAACTCACAGAACTTCTTTCTGTGCCAATTGTAAATTAGATAAATATTTATTATGGAGGCACCACATGCCAGGCACTCTTCTGGGTCTTAGGGACATAGATGAGGTGTCCTGGTGCATGCTCTTCTGGATGTCCTTCCTTTAAATTCTGCTCACATATGACCTCCTCTGTGTAGCCTTCACTGGTCCTCCCAGGTAGAGGCAGCCAGGCTGTTTTCCATGCTTCTGGAATTTATTACCTCACACACACAGCTCCAATGTGGCATATTACAGATATGTGTTTTTGTATCTCTTTTCCTCACTAAACTGAGGGTTAAAGTCCTAGACAGAGCCTGTATCTTATTCATCTCTATCCTCAGTGTTTAGGGTAAGTAATGCTAGGCATGAAGCAGGTGCCTGATAAATATGGAAATATTTTCTGAATGAATAACATGTGCCCATGATGTATGTCTAGGATAAATCTGCATCATGCACACTTGCCTGGGGATCTCTGGAAAAAATACAAACGCATCATTAGAGGACCCTCCACCACACGCACATGTAATGTGAAAGTAATTCTACAGACTTCTGAATCAAAATAAAATTTATTTAGCTGAAAATAAAAGATAAACATAACTGGAAGGGAGGCTACCGTTGTTGCTTCAGGGTGGTGAATTTCCAGAGGAAACCTGGATATATATACCAGCTGCTTCCTTTGCCTGAAATGTCCACCACACACACACATACACACACACACACACACACGCACGCACACACACACGCACACACAGCCTAGCTAACTGTTGCTAATCTTTCATATCTCATTTGTATTTTTTTAGGGAACCCTTATCACCACAGATTACGTCTCCTGTCATGTATTCTTAGAGCATCCAATATCTTCCTTTAGTAGCTTTTATCTAGCTATAATTATACTTATGTTTTTTAAATTATTTTCTATTTCTTTTTCCAAGCCATAAGTTCAACAGGGTAAGCTCCACATATGTTACATAGGAGATTCTCAATGCATATTTATTGAATAAGCAAATGAATAATCTGCTTTAATATTCATAATAACCAACCAAGGTGAGCCCTGTTATCATATGCACTTTCCAGAGAAAATGGACACTGAGTACAATTAAGTAACTTTCCCGAGATTCCAGAGTCAGAGACGAAACAGTGAGATAGTTACTGGCTTTCTGCATACTGGCTTCCTGTATCACAGAGAACTAATTCAGAGCTATTTTAAAACTTTAAGTAAATGAGCTCAGCTTTATTATTCACTGTTGAATGCCTAAGAAAATTTTAATTTTAAACATGAGTTTAAAAAAAATGAGTAGATCCACAGAGGGTTTGTCTTTTTTGATCTCTCAGCTCTGATTGGAAATAAGTCAGTATTAGCAGTGTTGTTAAAATCTCCACCATGAAGATCCATCAGGGTGCTTGGAGTCTAACAAGAGAAAAGGTAAGCTTATTTCCTTTTCTAATATGTGGTTCTTGTTTAATTCCCAGCGTATGTTTGAAATGATTTTAAAAAGAAATCTGATATTTGCAGTTTACTGAAACATCTGACAAATGGGTATTGAAGAGCTTATTGTTGCATAATTTGACAGCCTTTAAAAATCCTAGTCCTATTTTTCTTACAGAATGAATATATTTCTTCACATTAAAAGACACTGAAAAGTAATGGCAGATGAAACGTGGTCATGTTGAGCAGCTGCTCAAGAACTTCAGTAAAGTATGGGCCTTGATTACAAAGAGAGCTGTATGGGCGTTGATGAGAAGCAGAAACACAGGCACATCTTAAGTACCGAAGTCCTCAAGGGTACAACTTGGCTATACTGAGCACATTTTCCAAGGCCATTTGCTGATCCTGCTCTTAACGGCCAGTGGACTGGGCTAGAATTCATTAAGATGCATCCCTACTTTGTAGGGTACTTAGCCCATTGAAAAAGGTGATGCTGAATAAAAAATGGATTATAAGAGCAGAACTGGAGACTTTCTCCCACCTCTCAGGGAGAAAGTAAGGACTATTGTTGCTCCCAACTTCCCAAGTTTGGTATGGACAAAAACTAGATGTATGAAGGGGTGCTGAGGGGGCATCAAGGAAGAATTGCTTTCTAACTCACTAGGTATCTGCATGCCCAGTTCATCTGCTTATAGTGGGATCTTGCTATTTTCAAAGCTCAGTTAAGCCACCCTTAGAGCAAGTCAGTATTTCTATTTCTTTTCTTTCAGATAGATTCTCTTAATATTACCCAAGCAGCCAAGCAGTTAGGAGGAGAGCTCCAAGGAGTCAGTTCCCCCACCTGACATGTTGTATCATAGGAATGCTGAATTTCAGACATGAATTATTTTAATGGCCCATTTTATAAGCCATTCATTGTCTGAATTCTTACAAGAATGATCAAGTTTTATTCTTTAACTGCTTAATAAAATTCCCTCCAGCTTTTCCAGCTCAGAAGGAGATCATGGAAAGCTGGCCAGGGCACATTTGTCCTGTGAGCCAGGTAGATTCCTTTATACCAGGGTATGATGTATGTCCAGGATCTGTTGGTTAGAAATGGGCTCAATGCAGGAAGCACAACGTTAAGGGACATATGCTTCAGGGTTATTTTTCTAACCTGGGAAAGTGCATGATTCTTGCAAACTGCTGTGAAAGTACTTGTCACGTGAAATAGTTTAGCCCTAATGAAAACTCCCTAGAATAACAAATAAGGAGATATTTGTGAATGGCATGAAACATCAGAAACCAAAGCAGTGTTTTGCTGTGACGAAATGTCTTGGTACATTATTTATGCATTTTTATTTTTATTCAGAGCTGCATAGAGACATGTCTGCTTAAATACATTAACTTTCCCATTCTACTAATTCATTGAACAGAATAGATTCAAATCGCCAGTGCATCAGTCAGGATCTACACAGGAAATAAAACTACTGTAAGTGCTTTAAACAGAGAAAATTTAATGCTTGGAATTGGTTACACACATGATAAATGACCTGAAAAGCTAATCAGGGACAGAGGGGGCAATTCAAATATATATAAGAACAGGAAGCCACTACCTCTAGGACGTGGTATTTCCAGAAATCAGTTACTCAGGCTGGAACAAGTGGAACCTAGTGAATGCCTGGCAGAAGCTGGGATCATGAGGGAAAGGATGTCTAGTGGGAGTGGAGCCCCAGAAGACACAGCTTCTTCCTGCTGGAAATGCCTCCCCAAGGCAGAGGGAGAAATACAGTGACTTCTCCCCTTTCCTCATCCTATACTTGTCCACTAGTACCCATAATTGCCAAAACTACTGGAAGTTAGTTGTCAAGGGAGCCCCTGCAAATGGTGTTTCCTGTGATTGGCAGCAGAGTAGAGGAAGGGTGGGAAATGAATCTAAGGATATGCAGGCATATGGCCAACTAGCACATGTGCTGATCTACAGCATCCTGTCCATGGCAAATATCAAATGCATTACTTTTGTGCTATTAGTTTTGAAGCTCAGTTTACTTCTTTTCTTTAGCTTATGTGTCTGAGTAACTTCGACTAATCCTTGTGTTCTGTGTAGCACAAAGACACTGGAGTTTGCTGTGGTAGAAAAGCAGAAATCCAGAAAACATGAAAGGGAGGAGACAGGTGGGGAAGGCATCATATACTTTATTTATATGGCTACATTTTTTAAAAAACTAGGGGAAATGCTTTATTTTTTTAATTTGTATTTCTTTGGACAGACACTATTAAAAAAAAACTACCTGTGGCTACTAAGCATTCACTGGGTCTATCATTCTCTTTTAAGACGGCTTTAGGGGAATATGCAGTAGAAAGAGAAATGGGATCTAGGCTGAGATCTGATCTGGTCAGGAGCAGATTGGCTGCGGGTAAAAATGGAAAAGGCGAAGTGTGTGCTCTGCATGTTCATCATCCCTGTGTCCTGCCTTCTTCTCCTTCGGGTTTGTGCCAGGTCTCCCAGGGATAGCTTCCCTGGTGCCCTCTTTACTCTCCTCAAGGCCTGGTGGATCCTAACTGATGGATGTTTATGGAGAGCTGGTGCTGTCACAGCCAGTAGCAGGAAGGACCTCTCTGCATCTGTTGGTACCCTGAGCCTGCCACTCATCAATACCAGCCTCCAGGCTTTTCCCACCCACGTGCCATATCTCTTGTCCCATTGGATGTCATTAGACCTGATCTGAGCTGCCTGAGGGACAGGCTTTCCTTTTAACTTCCGTTTATCGAGAGCCCATTATGTGCCTGGAACTTGACTGGATGCTTTTTCTCGATTATCACATTTAATACTCATGCCAACATCAGGTTACAGACCTGATGAACAGACCAATTTAGAGATTAAATAATTTTCCCAAAGTCACTCAGCCAGTAAGCCTAGAGGTGGGATTTGGACTTGATTCGTTGCGTGTAAGCACATACTGCATCATACTGTCCAGGGCCAGGACGGGCAGCAGAATACAGGCTCCTCCACATGTACGTCAGCCTCCCAGCATCTAGAGAACTTTTCCCTTTAACCAGGCATCTCAAAGCCACAGTCACAGCTCTGGACACACAGGTGCTGAGAAGAACTGATCAAACAGTAATGTCTCCATGGGGACCAGCCAGCCAGCAACAGTGTACACACTCACTGTGTACTGACCAGGACTCAGAAAATCTGTTCTGCCAATCCCTGGACTCCTAATTAGCCTTCCATCTCCCAAAGTGAGTCAGTGTCAGGTAATCAAACACATCTCTTTCCTTGTCTCCTCTCATTTAGGGGGCTGTAGCTAATTCCTACAGCTTATTCTGTACTACCCATCAGAACTAATATAAAATCATTCTAATAATAATCCACCCAAACTGGCCTTCATATCTGGTATCTGGAATATAGCAGAAATCTTTTCATTCAGCATTGGAGCATTGCATCATCCAATGAACTGACTGCAAATGGTCATACAGGCTAACCTAAAGGTTATAGATCAGTAGGTAAATGCAAAAATTCCATTAGTTTTCAGACCTGGGGTTTATGACATTAATTTAAAATGAAATCAAAATCCTATACAGAAATAGGAAAAGCACCCTGGATAGATTCACTTTTAACAGCATCCACTTACCTATTACACAAGGGCCGAGAAGGCAGTAGTTTCTATATCATGTAGTTACTTTTTATTCCTGTTCATTGACTTTGACAAAGACAGTAAATAGCATACAGAGAATAGATACATTTTGAAGAAATATTAAAACACTGATTAATGTCACATTAAGAAGTATAAAGTCTCTTGGGTAGAGGGAGAAAAATTAAAATGCCTTTGGTTCTTAATGAAACTGCACCAGGCTTATATAAATCTAAAATCCTTACTTTAACCTGAGTTTAAAATAATGGGCTAACTTGACAGTGCTTTACAAATCCTAGCAATGAACATTATCATTTATTACCAGAATGAGTGATAATAGGAGTAGCAGGAGATAGTGCATATTGGGAAGTGTCCAAAGAGTTTAGCAAGACAATATTTCTTTTTCACAATACAAAGATAAAACAGTCATAAAACTGAGAGTTCATTTCATTCACTTGGAGGAGAAGGGCAGGTGGGTGTTCTGGTTAGACAGATTGCAACCTTCTTCTACAGGAACATAAAGGAGAATGAAGAAACACAAGAGGTAATATTCATACTGCAGTGCAAGGAAGTACATGGATTTAAAGTCCATCACAGTAATTAAATTTCAATGTTGACACAGTACATCTCAACATTCAGAGTTCTAAATATGGTTTATACAGTGCCTGTGAGCAAAATGCGATGCACATGAATATTTATCTCTGTAGTGAAGCTGCTTCTGCCACATGCTCTGAAAAGAAGGGTTGAGATTAGGACAGACCAAAACAGAGTCCACAGAATTTGATGATAATCATTTCAAAATAGTTGAAATGAGCCTGTGGCCTCATCAGAGGCAGTGATTTTCAAGCATTTTTGGTTGCAGAACCCTTTGCACAAATGAAATCTAATTAGAAACTAAATATTTGAAATGGATTGAAGTGAGATAGGCCAGTTGATTTTTGCAGGGGGTCAGGGTATTCCAGGCCAGTGACTTTTCAATGCCATACACTTTGAGACGCATAATCTAAAACTATTCTTTTAGCCAATAAATAAGTAAAATGGGCCTGGTTCCAGCATGAACTGTGCATTTACTCTGCACCTGCCCCTCCACCCAGTATGTCCAACCATGCCTCCGAGGTGGTGTCTGCACTTAGGCTCTCCCCTCGTTGGAAGTGCCTGGGACTGCAAGGGGTTGTTCTTCCCCTTATGCTTAACATGTTTCTCCAGCTTTAGCCCTGATTTCCTTAAGCATATTTGTAGTTTTGTTTGGTTTTTTTGAGATGGAGTCTCACTCTGTTGCCCAGGCTGAAGTGCAGTGGTGTGATCTTGGCTCATTGCAACCTCCGCCTCCCGGGTTGAAGCAATTCTCCTACCTCAGCCTCACAAGTAGCTGGGATTATAAGTGCATGCCACAATGCCTGGCTAATTTTTTGTATTTTTAGTAGAGATGAGGTTTCACCATGTTGGCCAGGTTGGTCTCAAACTTCTGACCTCAGGTGATCCATCTGCCTCAGTCTCCCAAAGCGCTGGGATTACAGGTGTGAGCGGCAGTGCCTGGCCAAGCATACTTCCAGTTTTTTTAGTCAGCTTAGGTTACATGTGCTGTGGTAACAATCCCAAATCCTCAAGGACTTAGCTTATTTCTTGCTAGCACTGCATGATCATAATGGGCTGGCTAGATGTCTTCTTCACTCTGCGACCCAGACTAATGAAACACTCATATTTGGGACATTGCTGGCCTTGTGACAGAGAAAAAGCCCCATGTGGCAGTACATTACATAAGGTCTCTAAAATTTTCTGCTGGGAAGTAGCCTATATCAGTTCTGCCCACATATCATCGGACAAAATAGGTCAATTGATCTTTGAGAAAGCTCAACTCAACCATCTCAGTTTAGTTCCTTTTGTCGCATGATTTCAGTGGTGGATACATATTTCTTTAGAGGTAGTATGACTCATGCCACTTTCCATTGAGAGCCAGGGGTAGGATTCCTTATATTTTTCTCTTTTAGAGCTTGTTTCTCCTATTAGGATTGCCCACTAGGTAATTTCATGTCTGAGGCTGCTACTAGCATTTAAGATATTGGCAAATCAGAGATACCTAATGCACCCTGAACAAAAATATTGCTATGCCTTAATGCTGCTGACTCTCCCAAGAGGATGTTTTTGTGGAACCCTATAATTATGAAATCATGGCTTTAAAAAACATTTTTGGTGCACATTAAGATTGACAGACATGATTTGCAGCAGGAGGAATTGGGCTTTGCATCACAGATGCTTATTAGTGAATTCATGGATCAACAGGCCCACAACATGTTCATTCATTCAGCATCAATTCTGAATCAAGCAAGCACTGTTTCAGATCAAATCCTCCTGTCATGCAGTTTACAAATACAACCCCAACCTGGGATAGATATTTGACATCATAAATGACATCCTCAACATCTGACATTAGCACAACGGCTCCACTGATCCCAGCTCTATCATTTACTAACTATAAGACTTGGGGCCAGTTACTCAGCTTCTATAATACTCCCCATACATAAGGTAGGGAGAATAAAATTAACTACCTCATAGGTTTGGGGTGAGGATTTCCTGAAATAGCGAAAAGCACTTAATTGTGCCTGAGCTAAACAAGTGCCAATAAACATTAGTCACGGTCCTCATCACCACCATGATCAGACTACGTATTAGAGTGGTGATGGTGAATAGAATTTTAAGGGGTGAAGGATATGAACAGACACTTTTCAAAAGAAGACATTTATGAGGCCAACAAACATACGAAAAAATGCTCATCATCACTAGTTGTTAGAGAAATGCAAATCAAAACCACATTGAGATACCATCTCATGCCAGTTAGAATGGCGATCATTAAAAAATCTGGAGGCAACAGATGCTGGAGAGGATATGGAGAAATAGGAACACTTTGTGTTGGTGGAAGTGTAAATTAGTTCAACCACTGTGGAAGACAGTGTGGCCATTCCTCAAGGATCTAGAAATAGAAATTCCATTTGACCCAACAATTCCATTACTGGATATATATATACCCAAAGGATTATAAATCTTTCTATTATAATGACACATGTACATGTATGCTCATTGTGGTACTGTTTACAATAGCAAAGACCTGGAACTAACCCAAATGCCCATTGATGATAGACTGGACAAAGAAAATGTGGCACATATACACCATGGAATACTATGCAGCTATAAAAAACGATGAGTTTGTGTCCTTTGTAGGGACATGGATGAATCTGGAAACCATGATTTTCAGCAAACTGACACAAGAACAGAAAATCAAACACCGCATGTTTTCACTCACAGATGGGTGTTGAACAATTAGAACACTTGGGCACAGGGAGGGGAACATCACACACTGGGGTCTATTGGGGGACTGGGGGCTAGGGGAGGGACAGCAGGGTAGGAGAGGTTGGGGAGGGATAACACTAGGAGAAATGCCTGATGCAGGTGATGGGGGGATGAAGGCAGCAAACCACCATGGCATGTGCATACCTATGCAACAATCCTGCAAGATCTGCACATGTACCCCAGAACTTAAAGTACAATTTAAAAAAAAAGAATTTTACCTGAAAAAAATATGGAGGTCTTTATTGAAGAAGCTTAAGATGGGTCAACAGTATTATGTAGCTGTTTAAAAAGCTAAAGACACCTTAAGTAGTTGATGAAAAATGTTATATTATAAAAAAAATTAGTTCTACTTCAGTCTTCTCTGATTAAAATTCACCTGGAGTATAGAAATATGATTTTGGTGTGGGACATTCATTTCTGAAAAAGAAAGAGTACTTAGTATATCTGCATTGCACAGGGTCTTATGCACATAGTTCCTATAAAGATGAGTTCCTGGCATCATACAGTGAATAGCATTCTTTCATTTTTGTTAAATCAGCAGAAGTCATGACATATTCTAGCCTTAGTTTCTTCTAAGAGTTTTTCAAACAACTGTTGGGCAATCCTACAGGGATATTTTATAATGCCCTTCCGAATGTCAAAAGGACTTATCCCAATCCCTAATTTCCTGCTGATCTTTACCATCTGTTACTTTGACCTTTTCATCAAAGGCTCCTCAAGCTGCTGGAAGCCCTGCATGTTAACACCCAGTGGAATACTCTTCCTGGGTTTCTTTGCCTCAGTCCCAACACTATCACTTATATACATTTTGTCGGCCATAATGGTTTCAAACAGTTAACCAGAACACAAAAATATATGCCATAAAGAGAGGCTCCTGAGGGGTACATAAAAAACATCACTGAAGACTTTCAACTCAGTATGGTACAGTAGAGTATTCACTGGCTGAGAACATTTGCCATATGGGGCACAAATGTTTGCAGCCTGACAGCATCCGGTACAATCTCCCATATCGGCTCTCATTGGCTCAGAGTATGCCGGTACTCTGAGGATCTGAAAAATTTTATATTAACAGTTTGTGCTAATTAATTGTTCTATAGATATTTCCTTTGAGAAACTATTACATACACAAATAGTACTGTAGCAACCCAGCCAGCAAGGACAGCATGAAATGGTACATGGGCTCAAATTTAGTAGCACTTTAAGAGAAATAGAGATAAAGTGTTGTTTGCTTAGAAGATAAGCAGGTGATGAGAGAAACAGGAAAAAGTCAAAGGAACTAGGAGTGTGAACCTCCAAAAGAAAACACAATTCACTTGAAAACTACTTCCAAGCAAAAAGGAAAGCTGACTTGCTCTGTCCTGTTCAGGAGGGCAGAAATGGGGGACAAAAACTGGGTAATAAGAAAGCACATTTTTGTTCAGCTTGAGAAAATATTTTTAATATTTAATACTGTCCCCCACAAAGGAATAGTTTATGTTCTGTGATAATGAACTCCTTATCAGTAGAGGTAGTAAATGTGGATGGCTATTTGTTAAGGGATTCATGCATTGAGTAGCGTGGTGGTTTATAAACAGTGGCCACAAACTCTTTGACATTCCTTCATAGAGAGGTCTATGTACCGTCCTCTTAAATCCACATGGGATTGCAATTACTTTAATTAATTAAGGATGAGGAAGTGACACTATGTGATTTCCAAGGCTGAGTTATGAAAGTCTATACAATGTTCACCTAATTTCTTGAAATGCTTGCTTTGCAGATGCTCTATCTCAGAACCCAGCCACCAGGCTGTGATAAATCCAAGCCACATGGAAAGACTGCATGTGGGAGGCACAATTCAAATTAGATTTGAACTTTCATTTATATCCACTGTGTCACTGGAAAAATTAGAAATAAATTAAGTTCTACTAAAATCTAATATCCTATTTGTCTACGGCACCATCACTCATCTGCATGTCAGAGTCAACATGTTAAACCTTCTCCTTGAGTACTGTGCAACATATTCTGAATTAAATGGTCTAGTCAAACTGGTTTATATATGTATTATATTATTTAGTTCTGACTTATTAATTAGCCCTCTCAAAATGGACAAGGAGCATAAAGAGATTTCTGCAAAGAAACCATAGATTGACTAAAAATAGTAATAAGACAAGCACATTGATGCAAGAAAAAACTAGAAGAGCTGATACATCTCCTAGGGCAAGTTTCTAGCTAGCCACAGTATCAGAGTAAAAGCTGTGATGATCTGATCTCATCAGAACTAACTCAATGATTTAGAAATTACCCAGGAGACGATTGGAAGTGCAGATTTACATCCAATAAATTATTGACTCTTACCCAAAGAGTTATTGTGCTTGTTATATTAATGATGATAGTACATATGTACATACTTGTAACTAATAGATAAAATTAGAAAGTTGAAAAATATGAAATTGCCAATGTTCAACTACTTTTGACCCATAAAATATCAATTTCATATGGTTCAATCTAATTTGTTTAGGTTAAATGCTCAAAAATTATTTACTTTGGAGTGAGTACAGTAAAAATGTCTATGTAGACTATTGATTTAAGGAATAAGATACCTGATAAGCATTAATTTAGCATACACAGTGCTTAGGAAACTGTTAACCATCGCTCCCCAGATGTGTATATATGTGAACACAGACACATGATGTCTTACAAAATTATTGCTTTGCTTGTCTGATGAATAGATAATTTTAACACATGTACTCTTTCCAATTGGGGTGGATCTTAGCACCCAGGTAGATTATGAAACACTGACTTGAATGACAATAATTATTCTTTGCCTGACTCCATCCTGCAGTGATCTATCTAGAAAATCAACATTCCTTAGTAAAAAACAAGGCTTTAAAAAGAATGATCTTTATGGGAGCTGGTGGTTATAGAGAATTTTAGTGCCAATAAAAAGAAGATGAGGATTACTTGTTCCTTTGAGGCTGTGAGGTAATTAAAAAACAATATTTAGTGGGTTTTAGAACACCTATTTCCATGAAATCTCAGCACTAAACAATTCAGGGAAATCGGAATAGATAAATCACCTAAACAGATCAGAAAAAAAATGGATAAAGCAACCATAATTCTATGCTACCTCCACCCCCTCCAGATTCATTAAATTATTTCAACCTCTTGGCATAAAATCCCATAGCACTTCAAAGCATGTGTCTTGCTTTGGTGCTTGTCAAAATTAGTGTCTGAAAGACTGTACAGGGAATGCTTTTCCATGCAAGGGGCAGTTTCCTATTGAAGCCCCTCTCCCAAATTACTCAGAAATGTCCTCTCAACCTGCACATGCAATATCAACTCTCTCTTATCAGCTAAGATTGTTCTGTTTCACGGCACCATATCTAAAAGCAGGTTTATGCTTTAAAGTAAAAAGAGGTTATGGGTTTATTTTTTTGTTTATTTGTTCTTTCAGTCATTGATTCATTCAACAAGTATTCAAGTGACTACCACAAGCCATGCAGTGATGAAGACATAAAAAGAGTACAGCAATTTGCAACCTGGGGCTAAGGGGCTATCAAAAAGTTAGAATTCCAAACACCAGGTGAATTTGGTTCCCTAAGATAACATAAAAATGTGAGAAGAATAAAACAGGTTGTTGAAAACTATGTGTTCTGGCACCTTTGTGTTTCTCAATAATTTACATATAAATACTGGCTCCTTCAGGAACTATCCCCAAGTTAAAGTCAGGCGACAGAACACCTGGAAAGAGCAAGAGACAGAAAGGGTAGGCTTAGTGAAAGGGAGAGGGTAGCAGCTATTTCCAAAATCCCTGGGATTCAATATCCTCAACAGAGTGAAGAGTGGACATGAATCTGTCAAAACAATGTGAGAGTAACCTGTAAGAGCCTCCTACAGGCCAAAGATGTAACAATTTAAGCATCAACAGGAATGATATAAGTATAATAGATTGAAATACTTCAATAATTTTTAAATCCATGTGTTCTTCATGATATTAAAAAATTATTGAGTACTGAGGGATACTGTCAGGGAACTAATGATAATTTTGAAAACTGAAAATAAAAGTGTTGTATTTGACTGGAGCACAAGACAAAAGTACGCCAGATTGCAGGGTCATTTATTATGCCGGCGACCACAGAGGACTCACGTCTCTCCAACCTGTGGTGCCAAAAGGAGGGTGCCACGATTTTTTATACCCGAAAAACCACCTTGGGAGTGGGGGTGAGGGGCGGGGATGGGGATGAAAAGGTTTCGGACATTCCAAGGGCTAGGGGATTCTGTGATTCACCTCCTGGGTGGAGACAAGGGCAGGGGTCTCCGGACATTCCAAGGGCCAGGGGACTTTTGTCATTCTGTTTGTTACTCAGTGGTTTACAGAAGTCAAGATATACATTTGTTTACACATCGTCTGGGTGGTGATAAAAGTCACAGATTTTAGCAGTTACTGATAAGAAAAGGTAAGCAGCTTTACATAGTTTTGAAGAACAAACTAACAGTTCTATTTACAGAGGCCAAGGACAGTAGTTATTGTGAGGAGAATGGGGCAGCCACTTCAACTTATTTAAAAAACAGTTTTGCATTTTATAAAATAGTGTTGCTCAGGTTCTGGCTCTAGGCCAGCACAATATCACAAAAGAATCAAGAGTTTACCCTCCCTTGGCTATACTAGTTGTACTACTAGCAACCAAAGAGTAGAAAAGAGGAAATTTTTATTATAAAAATGTCCCATTTAATAAATGATGAAGGCAGGAGAAAATAAGAATACCCCTATTTTGTAATCTCTAATAAACCAATGGATTTAGGCATAGAACATCAATAGCTAGCACTTCGAAAAGACAGCATATAGTGTGCTTTTTATTAAGTGGACAAGAACACATACTGTAAATGTCTTATCAGAAAAACCCCACAAAAATCTAATATGATAAAACCTCTAGATCCAACTACTAAGTACAGTAAATAAGAGACCAAAGAACATATTAAACTGTATCCTGGGGTTGCAATCAGCAAAAACTAGACCGTGAGAAGCTATAGGACAAACAATCATGTTTTTTCCTTGCAGTTTGACAAATGAGCTGCAAGAAGAAAAAAGGAAAGGAGAGGAGTACCCATATGTTTTAAAAAGTCTCAAAGACAAATCAATCTATGGACAAGCAATGTATGTATTTTGCATACGTAGAATATTTGAATTATGATTTCTTAAAAAATGTATGATGCGTTAGATAACTGCAGTGACTGGAGATTTGATAACATTAAGACTTATGGTGTTTTTTTAAGTGTGGGATTGGTATTCTACTCATATATAAAAACTATGTTTTTATCTTATAAAAGTACATAATGAAATATTTTGAAATGAAATAATATGATATTGAATTTGCCTCATGAAAATATAGGTGGGAGAAAGGTTGGGAAGATGTGACTGGTGATGGAGATGGGGCTGTGGAGACCAATGAGTTGGTATTTTTCTGGAGCTGGTGATGGATATGTAGAGATTTCTTCTATATTATTCTGTTTATATTTGTGTATGTTTGGATTTCTCCCCTCTCCACAATAAAAGGCAAAACAACAACAACAACAAAAAAACAAATTAGTGGACATACGAATTCATGTATCCAAAAGATCAGCAGGAATTGGCTAATTTAGACTCTTTCAGATTTTCCAGTGAAGTTACCAGACACATAATAGTCTGTTTTTCTCAGATCCAAAGCTATACGCAACGTGAAAGCATATGAATATATGTAAGCATGATAGAATGAAAATAGAAACTCCCTCTTGCTCTCTCCCTCAGTGCATTTGTGTAGAATATATGTATGTCCACACACACACAAGTTTGTGTATGCATAGGTATATCCTCAGATGCATCTTATTTATATTCTGCTTGAAATTGTTTTTAGCCTTGTTGAAGAAGGCATCTCAGGCTGACAACAAATAAACCAATATTTCAATTAGCACAAAACCACATACCAGACAAATGATCCTGGTGGCATGGACAGGTAGTGTATGTAAAATGTGTCCATGTGAATGAGCATACAGATGCTGTGCCTCAAAGATTAAGGGAATTCTACACTACCAGATATCTGTGTCTAGGCTGATTTTAGCATGGAGAAAATGCACTCAACTTAGAAATTCCATACTTTAGAGTAGCTCCCAGCTTCCTGGGGTTAATCTTTAATACTGAATAGATAAAATCTTCTCTAATCCAACAAATCAAGCAATAAAGAAATGGTTCAGCTACTTTTTATATCAAAGGTCAAAGAATCCATCTTAATACTCTACTATAAAATGCTAGCCAAATGAAATTAAAAGAAAACAACACAAGCAAACAAACAAAAACCCCAAACTCCTGAAAAGTAACCAAGTCCAGATTATGATATAATGGCGTTTTGCATAGGATTGTTTACCACATCTCGTTGTTTATGTAAATAGAAGTCCTTATAGGCCTCTACATTATTTAAGAAAATTAGCATGTTTCAAGAAAGTAGCAGATTATTGTGGATGAAAGTATTTTACCAATAGGGATTTTGTGGTTGGCAAATGTGATTATATATTCATTAGCATCTGCAAGCCAAGTATGTGGCATGTACCTCCTGAAAACACCTCAACATGGATATTCTAATTTCCACCATTTTGAATGGACAAAAGGGTTTTTATTCAGGCATAGTCAAAGAGAAACAAAGAAAAAACAATTACCAAGTCCCCATCAGTTTCTTAGGGATAAACGGCAAAAAGAATCATCTGTCATTGTCATTTTTTGAAATGTAGCAAATGTTGACCGTCTACTTAATTAGTCTGTTGTCTTCATCCACTAAACATATTGACGTTTTATAGGAGAGAAATTCAGGGACAATGGTAAATAGTCTCTTTCTCAAAGTGAACAGAATAAGGACATA